AATAGGGAAAACGTCAATATATTTATAGTTTTTACATAAGAAGATTCCAGAGTATTCTCCAACTATCGACTAGTGCTGATTGGATAAGAATTAGCCAATCAGCGTGCACCAAAGCAATCATGCATTGAGCATGCTTTAATTTAGTCTATGTCCGGCTAACAAGTACAGACGACTGCTAAGTTTAACAGTATGAAATTACGCGTTGAAACGTATGGTAACTTGTACAAGTCTTCGTGGATTAGGGATCACATTCCAAAGTGGTTTTTGATTTCAGATGCTTCCGTTAGTGATGCCAGTTTTTAAGTTATTTACGGGAGAACACATTCTGGGAGACATAACAGTAGTGTGTTATAATAAGGAAATATCTGACTTTTCTGCGTAATTAAGTACTCTGTGAATGGTAATGAAGCACAACGAGATGATCTAGAGTAACGTAACGTTATATCAAATATGGAGTGTTAGTTAGTGAATCGCTCTGCATGATTTATAGTTGTATCCCTCTACATTGTATTGGCCGTTTTTTGAAGCTATTACACTTACATCAATCTAAAAGTTGGGTGTAAACGACCTAGTAGACTAATCTGCATAATCAAGATCCCTAGACTGTAGTTATTTGACCCATTAGTTATTATTGTTTAATTTTGGCTTTCATCATTATTATTATTTGGTCTTAACTCATTTTAAACTTTATTTTCAATTGTGTGCTATAAGAATGATTGCATAAATCTACAACAGTGTGTACTTGGAGGGATTTTCATACACGAAACTTTCTAAAGGTATCTTACAGAAAGAGTTTAGATGTTCAGTTGCCGAGCAAGATGGTGAGTGTCAGTTGAGTATTTATACTTGAATTAGGATAAAAACGTGTTAATGTAAACGGTTTAAGGCTTATTTAGTATATTTGTAGAGAGAGTTCAGGCTAGATATATATTAATTGATGGATGGACTACAAGGTTTGCATATCAGAAGTAAAATGCACAAGATGTACAGGATGATTTGATAACCCGATTATGGTTCGCCCTACAAACTAACTAGTTGATAAAATATTTAAGTCACATGGAACAAAAATTTCTACCTCCAGTAATCATACTTCGACTATTGTCATGAACTTCAGTCTGTGTTGGAGTTAATTCGACACTTATGCTTTCAGTTTACAGGAGATTTGCTTGGCGAAAAAACGACACTACGTTATAATAATTACCAGTTATTAAATGATGGATTTTAAACCAGTAGTTTTATCAATTACATCGACCACACTACATGACAATTAATTCCTGAAAATGATTTATGACGATGTTGAAAAGCCAACACGAGTAACTAGTTGCAGTGTTTGTTGAGCATTCGCTAATGGAAAACCAGTAGCGCTTTTTTCTATGCCTAATAACTTTGATACCTCAAAATCTGTCCATATTCAACAATTTCGAAATGTCATAAATTCAAAAGGGGTTGATAAACACTAGTGAAGCTCATTTATTTGATTACATTACAAACCTTGATGGAAATATTCACTCATTTGGTGTAATCTTTAATAATGCACTTCAGACTTTCTATTTTGAACAGTTATCTGGCTAACAACTATTCAACAGTTAAGTTACTACATTGGTGCAGTACGGTTATATCACAAGGTGGTAAATTTCTTATCACCTATGGTCCTAACCATGTTGAACGTTTGCCCAGACGACGAATTTCATAGCCAAATACATAACCCGGATACATACAGAAATGATGAATATAGTGGATTTGGTGAAGATTTTAGCGATGGTATGAATAGTCAAATCCGAATGTTATAAAGATGACATGACGCAAAATTATTTGTAAGCCATATTAACGTACGAGTTGATGTACAATCATAAACAAATTAACAATCAAATATAGGATTCACGCATGACATTCAAGGAATGATCGGATATAGATGAATTACACCACGTTTCCGTAATAAGTACAATGGTTGGATTTACAAGGAATAAAAGAGTTTTAAGATGAATAATTTTATTAGACAGAGAGCGGGCATTGAACGAAAGAATAAGAAATTCAGAGTCATCATAGTGAAGCAGGTTGGAGTATAAATCGCAATTGGTAGTTCCATGAATACTCATAGGATTAGCTAAGGTAAGAGTTGTGTTGCGAGGGGAAATAGATTCAACCACTTTGTCATCATGTGAAATATGTGTACCGTTGCCGACAGGAAAGCCGGCGGAATTACAAAAAAAGTTTTCTCATTGCTGTTGGATCTAACATCTGATAAGGGCATAGTGTACATATTGGGAGCCGGACCAAGAAGGCTATCAGGTCTATGGTTTTGACCAAGTGGCCAATTACAATTCAGATAACTATTTATACCTGACGTATGGGTAACGTGTTTAAGACGTTTATTTCCAAGGGTTGTGGTCGATTTCGGCTTCTTCATATGTTGGAGGGGATTGTGTACTGTTAAACATACTTGCGATGGTTTGCGAGGTTCGAATATATCAACGTTAAGTGCGTGGTCAGTTATATGGATGTTATGATTAGTTTTCCTGTTATCCGTTGCACAGTTACTGTAACTGGGTGTTGCACTAACAGGGGTTTGGATTGTGTTATCCCATTCTTCATCAGCACAACTACTTCCGGTTGAATCTAAGTCAACATTCTCAAGAGGATGGACACCACCTACATCGGAATTACTTTCTTCTGGGTTTTGAACTTTAGGAGATTCAGAAGAGTTTTTCGGTGACGCCAAAATTGTTAAGCTAGACGTCCCCAAACAAAGCATTCATCATGGTCGCAGACACATGAATCAAGTAAGTGAAATTTACCACAGGATAAGCATTCGCGAAACTTGTGCTCATCTCTGAAAATTTCTTTGAAACTTCCCAATGAATTGTTATCCATGTTTTCATAACATCAACGATGATCATTAATTAAACGTCTATATATATGACTTTGAGTACGCATAGGATTAGAATGACAAAGTTATGAAGTAGAATTCCTAACATCCTGGAAATTCATGCACCATCTCACAATCAAAAAGTGCTGCTTTTATTTCTTGGAATGAGTTTTTGGGTTTCGGAATTAATTCTCTTTCGGAAATATTTATTACAGCAACCAACTGACCACGAGGTTGAGTTTCTAATCGGCCTCTGAAATCGCACTTCGCGGTCTGTTTCTGTAGTTCAAGTGTAAAGTCATCAACTTTCTGATCATTATGTCACATCGTTTCATGAAACTTCGATCTATCTCTGCATTCAAACTTAACACACTGTACGTCACTAGGTAGCAATTCCTTGACAGATTCATATGGCGATGAAATTGGCTTCTCTGGAAAAGCCGGATTCTTTAGCAGGTTAGAAGCTCCAAGTGTGGTAGAACTCAAGGTATCCCAAATCATAAAGACTATCGGATTCTGCAGAACTAATGGGATCAAGTCGTTAGACACTTCACAATGGACTCTGTTAAAGATGTTGAACGATAACTTAACACCAAGAAGTAAGTACACGTAAAATGATTTGTGTACGCCTGCTCATCAAAGGGGAATTGTATGTTGGATTTACGTCACCCGTTTGAAAGTAGATGGATACATTTTGACGGGACGGTCAGGAAGTCGAGCGACGGGTTCTAGAGCACATATTACATGTTTTCATGCATCTTGGGCGTCGTTATTTTTCAGCTGTTAACAGAATTTTTCCGCCACACATCGATTTTTGTAATGTTTGTGTTTGTTACATAGCTTTTTTTCCGGTGTCCGTCAAAGCTGTCCACTTTCTCCATTTTTGTTTAACTTTATTATAGACCTATTGATGGAAATAACATTCTCGTCTACTGAATTCTCGGGTATTGATCTCCTTCTAGGAGGCCCACTTATCGACTTAGAATACGCAGATGATATAGTCCTGTTTGGTGAAGACGCTGATAAAATGCAGAGTCTTTTGGTAGCACTGAGCAACAATGCCAGAATGTTTGGAATGCACTTCTCTCCCTCTAAATGCAAGTTGTTGCTTCAGGACTGGTCTGCGTCAACACTTGAACTAAGGATAGGGAGTGAAGTAGTCGAACGCGTCGACAACTTCACTTATCTTGGAAGTCTGATCAGCCCTAATGGGTTGGTGTCTGATGAAATCTCAGCACGAATCCGAAAAGCTCGTTTGGCTTTTGCCAACTTACGTCACCTATGGCGAAGGCGAGATATCCGTCTATCAATAAAAGGACGAGTATACTGCGCGGCAGTCCGTTCAGTTTTAATTTACGGCAGCGAAACATGGCCATTAAGAGTAGAAGGCAGTAAAAGACTACTTGAATATGAGAACACTTAATATTCATGTGACCAAACGGACATTCAACAAACCTACAGCAATTGCAATACGAAATGACCTCCTCTTGTCAGGCCGTTCAAGGTCGTCGAAACGAAACGGCGGGCGGATCTGACAAGCAAGTTTTCCTTTCTACTCTATCATACTTTGCCTGAGGATTGGTCTTTGGATATTCATCTATGAATTTCACCGGATATGCGTTTTCACGTAGGCAATTGGTGACGAGAGCAATTCAATCATCCAGGCATTACTTTGAACAATTTTTCTTGACCGCTCACTTAAAACTTCAAAGGAGACAAAATTGCTTGAATAATTAATCACGTACTGAATTCCGCAGCAAAACTGACGAAAGTATGGGAAATAGACTGCTCACTCAAACAACTATATATATATAGTTTGATAACCTTTGTCATTCCAATTATTTACATTCATTTATGTCAATTGTTCCATATTATTTCTTATCTCAATGTAAAATTCCAATACATATTTGGTTGTAAGCAGCTGACGCGAAACCACGGAATACAATGAGTCCATATTATCCTGCATCAATTTTTGTTCTGGCTTTATTTAAATTTGCTACCTGATATTATTCAGACTATGCATCGTTTATTTTCGTGGGACAGTGAATACTGTCTATTCCATCGATTCTAACCTATAGCCTCGAACTAATTGAACAGGTTACCGAAGTATTTTGGTTTTTCATTTTTTTTTCAGCATCCTGCAATAAATTTCAATGGGGGAGTACGGAAGGTGACTAACTAAAATTCAGCACTACCTAATTCAAATTCATTCGCCTATTCTACGTACTAAAGTTCTTATTTCTGAAATACTTTATACCTACTATTTCAATAAAAGTCTTTGCTTTCCAAACCTCCCATCACTTCCTTTTTGGATAATGGCTAACTTTTCGAGAGTGGCCGAGATTTTTGAGCAAGCATCAGTGGCGTTCGGTCGATTGGCCCAACTTACTTTAGATCTTAAGCAGTTCCAAGCGCAACAAAATGATGGGGATTCCAAGACCTGCGGGAAATGGTCACAAAAGGAAGTTGAAGATCTTAAAGCTGCTATTGGACGTTTTGGATCTGATCTGTCAAAGGTAGCTGAAGCTATCGAAACAAAGACCATTAACCAGATAAAACAAAAGCTAAAAACCCGGGCTTTTCAGGTATCTAGATTTATTTATATCTCATTATCATAGGATGCTGGTCTTGGAGATATTTCCTTTGAAAATGAGGCTGCGGATACAGAAACCAAACCAAAAGTCATGACTCCAAATGCTACTCCAGTAATTTTAAGCGTTTGTCTGTAACAAATTTCAGGTAGAACGTGGAAGACGTAAGCAAGCTTTGAATCAAATGCCTGAACCAGTGGACTTGCATCCTCCTAAAGTAAGTGTAGGATTCACTATTTATGTATTATCCAAGTATGATTAGATCAGAATTCACTTATCATTCATGCTTTTCTACATTTTACTAAGAGGGTACTAATTAGGCGCACATTACCATCCCTTATTATCAAACTTTTCTGCAGCGTTCAATTTTTCCGTTGTGAAGGATGGTTTTGTGATCTTAGGAATGAAGTTTCTGTTGTTAAAATGGAAGAAAAGAATGTTGATCGATTGATTAGATTCAACTTTACAATGTTGCCGAGTGATGATTACTCACAGTACCGGATTATTTATGTAAGCGTCTGAGTTTGTAATCAAAAACAGGTCCAATAGCCGGAAGACTAGGACTTTTATGTAACAAAATGATAATAAACTGTCGCAAACGATTAGAGAATATCAGTTTATGGGTCACTCCAATTAATCAAAACTTGACTGTCAAGCCTAACTCTTAAGCCTTTTATCACTTCCCAAATATCATCAATACTATTTTTGTTTATACTGTTTTACTACTCATCCTGTTAGTTACATCTCTTCGTAGTTATGTGGTACGGTAACTTTGGCTAACAAACATTCGTTACAGGCTATATGTTGATTATGACTGACTAACTAGTCATCTTTATTTAAGAACCACCATTTGTCCGGCAACTATACACCAGACAAAATAGGTACAGCGGAACTGCAATTCAAACGTAAATCAGTATTTAGTTCATTTCGGTCCGTATCACCTCTAAGCATTCTCTTTGTTTATTGTTTTGTTTTTAGAGATCCAGATCTGATGTCGACGATTTGAATGAATATACCAATTATGCACCTGAAGTAGAAGTTCCAGATAAAAAACCCAACCAACCGGCTAGTAACAACAAATCATATAGTAATGAAAATGTTACACCGCAAAATAACGATGATGGTCATAATATTTTAAAACATAAGCCAGTTGGCAGTACACTATCTAGTGTTTTATCCAAACCGATATCACTTGCTAGACCAGATGTAAGTACGTTTGATGATCGTCATCGCAAAACAACAACATCAGTAAATGTCCTTAGTTCTGGATATAATGCAAATGAATCGAAGTATGAAGATTATGACGTAAGCAAAAGCTTTTTCTTAAATTGATATATTTGGTGATTTTTCTCAGTCTTACATTTGCGATTAGCATTCACCATACACTGATATCAACTAAAACACCGTGAAGCCCCGAATACCTTTTCCATTCTGGTTTGAGACTGTTTAGTGTTGTACACTCACAAACCTATGTTGGCTCGAGTCTAGGACACACAGGTCTTGGAACGAGCACATTATCTTTAAGTTACTGAGTAGGAATCTAGTGATCTGAATTTTCGACTTGAGTCGATTCCAGTCAGTCACTCAGTCATACGCAACATAAAATGTGACATATATGCATAAGTTCAATTCGCTATGTCATATCACCACAGTGACATGTCAAAATTGTTAAGTAGTAACAGTATTAGTGATAGTACAAAAAGATCAGGCATGGGCTGCATGATTTGATAAAGAATAAATTTGTGGAGTAAAAAAGTATAAGATACCTTGGATCTAGAAGAAGACGAAGAATGAGTGTATCTGCACTATTGAAACCAGTTTTAAGCCATGTCACCTGACCCATCAAATTGTTAGTTACGATAATTTAACGAATGGGAACCAGGTAGTATGTATCTGCCAAGATGTTCCAGTTCAGCTATCAATGAATTCGTGCAGTGATGCCACATGTCCCTGAATTTATTCCAGTATACTCCTACACCATCAGCCAACACATGTTGTTGTAGACAGTAGTTGGATATGCGTAATACATGTCCCAACTACTTCAGTCGATGAAGACCCACTAACCTTTTATCTACATATTTACCATCTGTACGTAGTATACTTTCTAACCTCGGCATTGACCACTTGATGATCCTATCATGCATGAGGAATTCTTGAGTATTTATTTTCAAATACTAGTAACCTACGAATGTTCTCTATGTTCAAAAGCTGTGTTTCATAACTAAAGTAGAGCAGAGTGATTTGACTGTCGGTATATTCGTCGTTTTGGTTGGCAAGTGAACATCTCGCCTATACTGCAAGTAATGTACGTCGTCACAAGTCAACTGAGCTTTCTAAATTGGTATCGAGATTTAATTTGCGTTATTGGAAGATGATAAAGACCAACTTTCAGTCTAACTATCTCTACTAACTTTCATTCATAATCTACTTGTCCAATCAGCCATAATTGCTAAGTGTCTAAGTAAATTCACTAGAAATTTTTCTTCTGATTTGTTATTAAATGTAATATGAATGTGAGTAGCATTTTGGCTTGGAAAGTATCTGTAAAAACTCCGAGTAACCCCTCTTACATTGTGAGATACTTATGAGTAGTCCCGTTGTTACGGATTTCCAGGTTGCACTGAAAGTTTATAATGTCTTTATATATACTGTAACTTTCTTTTTGGTCCTCATTTCTGAAGAATTAATCACTAGTCTACATGTGTGATCTATTGTGTAGTATTTATCATATATAGTGATGGTGACTAAAGTTGTAATATAGATCTTATAATGGTTATTTGTTGTTATTTATCGACTGATACCAAATGTACTTAATCGACTGCCCCGATGACCGATGTTTTATGATGTAGGAGTAGGTTGGAAGAAAGCTATGGACGGCCAGACCAAAACATGGCACAAATTCATGAATTCACTGACAAGTGGACTGAGCCACGTTGATAGGTGTAAACTACCTGGTTGGGATCCGCGAGATAATAGCAACCAATGGTTGGAGACCTTGGATGGCATGGCTCGAAATCATTTGCAATGGCGCACGTGCATCCACTCTTTGTGTTCTCGCTTTTTTTCTCTCTGAATTTATTTTACTGGATTATACTTCTTGAATAACATCTTCAAACCCTAATCTTTCCAATTACTGCTACCACTATGGGGTTTGAATCGACGATTATATCTGTGTACTAATGTGGTATAGCAACTCGAACTGATGTACGTATGTACGAAGTTCTACATTGTTGCTGACTGACTAAATCGATTGTGTTATTGAAGTATATTAGCATTTACTGAATAAAAATGTTTACTAGTTTAATGTTAAGAAATTTTATCAGCTGTGACAGTAGTGCTTAATACACTTCCGTACTATACGTTCTCTCAGCTTTAATTCAAGTTATTAATTAAGGTGAATGGGTATTTGAAGGGGTTTTGTGGAGATTTTCTAGAAATTTCAATAGTTGAAATCATGAGTCAATTGAAGCTAGACCACCATGGAAAACCTGGAAGCACTGGACCGCCATTTCGTCCTAGTATGGGACTCCTCGGCGATACGCATTTACGAACCCGCCACGCGGGATTCGAACCTGGGACCTATCGGTCTCTCGCGCGCGAGCGCTTAACCATTAGACCACTAAGCTGGCAGGCATCCAACGGTGTTAATGTCTAACTCCAACCAGTCCACGAACTTGCGCCATCGTCTTCAGAGAGTTGATATCTCACAACAGACCTGGTTGAACTCCGCTGGTCACTGCTTCTCACTAAAACTCCAGGAAATGCCTCTTGAAGTCAGCCACTAGTGAGCAGATGATTATTATCAGAAGGGGTTTTATGGAGATATTTAGAAATTTCAATAGTTGAAATCATGGGTCAATTAAAGCTAGACCACCATGGAAAACCTGGAAGCACTGGACCACCGTTTCGTCCTAGTATGGGACTCCTCAGCAGTGTGCCGTCCAGGTTTTCCATGGTGGTCTAGCTGCAATTGACTCATGATTTCAACTATTGAATAAGTATTTGTTTGACAAGAGTATTTCATTTCTGAGTAGGTTTACGAAGCATATTGATATGAATACGTAACGTAGAATGTATTGTTTTTTTTTGTCATTCATAATAAATATATATCAGCCTGTATAAAGTTACTAATTTTATTGTGAGTACATGAGATCACAATCGGATGTTTCAAAGATGAGTAATTAAACTTGTTCAAACCACTAGGCTTGGTTATTCAATTATGTTTTGTCATCCTTTCCAACTGAGAAGTTTCACTAAATTTTCTTAAATATTGAAAAGTCAAATGCTGTATCATGTTTTACGATCAAGGTTTAAGACTCGTCACTTCATGTATGAACCCCTCTCCCAATGAAGTTAGTCGGAATGAAATTAACTAGTGAAATGCGTTACACTGAGCGGTTACGTACAAGCCAAAATCACAGTATAGCATTTATGGTTTTAGGCTTTGTCATAGGATTAGTTATACCTACATATCAGTGTCTAGTACTTGAGAATACTAACTTATGATTTAAGATTCAGTTCAATTTTCTAGGAAATCATATCTCATCCTGGAAACTTTCTAGATCTTCCTTTCCATTTTTTTCATCTAGAGCGATGACAGCGATTATGATGGTCGTACACCCGGAGAAGATTATGAGTCAGACGAAGAACAAGAGGAAGAAGCCGACGACAACGAGGATTACGATGAATAACCAGCAATAAATTGATTTGTTAAATATTTGTGTATATGTCTTCATGATTATTATTATTCATTATCATGTAAATTAGTGTTTATACTGATAAAATAAGTTAACAGACTGCATGTGGTTATTTTCTTTTCATATGCTATTAAAGAACTACAATCTCAATGGGCTCAGAATTCAATTTTTGGGTCATAGATTTAAAAACTGTTTCGTCTACCTCGATTTACGTTGTTATCTGACGTCTCCCAAGATCTCACTTAATAAATATAACCGTCAGAAATTCACAGCATAAGACCTAGTATGAAATTGTATTAACCTAAAAGTTGCCACAAACCATATTAATGTAACCAAGATAGGTAATTAACACGAGGTGCAAAGCTATGGAGGGGAAATTAAAAATACTACTATCCATTATAGTTATTAAGATTAAACCTAAGAAGTATAGTTCACGGCAAATGAGTCAGATCGAAGAGTAAAATAACACTAAACTTAAAGTTTGGTGAAAGATAACGAATAAATACAACTGGATTTATACTTAATAGGAAACTATCAATATTGCTAGTAGGTTATTACAATCATTCTTGTTACTACAGATAAATCAAAGTTTACGAGTATGATAGTAAATCAGTTGATAAGTTTGTGAGATGATTGGGCCGCGTGTTACGTATGCCTGAACACCAATTACCACGACGTACGATGCTAATCGGTTTGCTTATCTTAAGACTGTATTGGTCTACGGTTGTATAGTAGAACCAACAAGTGAGTAATACTGTCTGAGCATTTGGTTCAAGTGCCAGACATTCGCTTTTCGTCCTCTCAATTTCGTAAATAACACCCCTGCCACGAGAAGGCAGTGAGTAGGACATCCTTAGCAGAGGCTATATATACGGCGTTATGTGAAAGCATTTTAAGAGGGAGACCGAACTGTCCAATCTGGGCCGTACCAGGGCATTCGGAGGCAAGCGTAAATAGTCATCACGATTTTTAGCTAACATTGAAAATTAATTATTTTATTTATTTGAACATATAAATACTGGTACAAGCGGGCACCAGTTACATATGTACTACACAAATCTCATTTGATTTGTGTGAGGGCTGGAATACTGCTAGGCTTCCCAAACCGAAGCGGGTGGTTTTCCTAGGGGGCCATACCCGGAGTCTTCGACCTAAAGGTCTGACCCACAAGGCAGTGGAATAACGTTAGGAGATGCAGTCCCATGGTAGCCGGTGATCAACGATTGGTTCATACGCCATTTGTTCCTTCAGGATGCTGGAGCCCATGTGCACCATTGGTTTGGAATCCGGTTAAAGTGCTGGACATTCGCTTTTCGTCCTCTCATTTTCGTAAACAACACTAATGCCACGAGAAGGCAGTGCGTAGGACTTTCCTGGCAGAGGCTGTATACGCGTGGCCATGTGAGAGCATTTCGAGAGGGAGAGCGAACTCTCCCCACTCTCGGCCATACCAGGGCATTTGGAGGCAATCTAAATCAACTGCTCATTAGTATTATAATTCAGAAAGTGTATTTAACATTTTCAACTCATGCCTCTATTATTGTTTGGAACCTTTCTTACTTTTAGGCAAGGGAAGTTGTAAGGAAAATATTGTAATGGGATGATAATAGTGAATAAGTAAACGTTAATGTATTCACAACTAGATGTGTTCGTAATATAAGAGTATCGAAATTATATAAAACCAGCTTCTGTTACTAATTAACATCAACCATATATGGATCATTTTAAATTAATTCACTTTATCATCAGTACATCGAATACTACACTGTCAACATAAATGCTACAGTTGTCGAAGCAGCAACAGTATTAGAGACATTGGAAGACATTAGATATAAGACATGAATAGATGAAAAGTTTAAGATAATTTTGAAACTTGAGATTTAAGAGATAACAGTGAATAAATCTGCGTTATTGCATCCAATACTCAGGTATGTCATTCATTGATTACAATAATCGCGTTTAATCCAATAAAGTGGTATACATAATTCAAATTAATAGTCAATAACTTTATAGAGTGATGCCACGTTTTGATTTGACTGCCTCTAACTTTCTTCTAACATATTTTTACACCAGCGAACTTCGTGTGTCAATGTATAGGGTAATTGGATATGTCTAATACATGTCACAACCACCTTAGTTGAAGATTAAATATCTAATCGAACTATTCAGCATAGTTAATCTAGTACTCGATGTTTAATACCAGCATTGCTCGTTCAATGTTTTCAATATGTTCGAGCAATGCTACGGAGGTATCAGTAACCAGATGAAAGTAATCTACTAAGAATCAAGAAATACATGACGTTTATTTCGTTTTATAGTCTTAGACTCGTCAATAAGTCTTCAACCAACAGTTTTCATTTATCACAATGACCAAAACACCTTTAAAATAACTAATTCATAAACTCATAAGTGAATAAATTCACTTGTTGTTTTACCCTGGATCCGGGTTTCCTGTCGACTACCTCCAACCACCATCTAATCTCAACATAGTGTCGAGTCACTTAGACTAGTTGCCACATTGCAACTTGGTAGATATCATTCGATCTGCATTAAGGACTTGACACACATGACACTCATTACCACCCAGTGATCAACCAATTGTGATTACTTAGCTACTGAGTCCTGATAGCCACCTGCTTGTGCAATCGGGTTCACTTGGTGTTGTTTTCCTTGTATCTTTCCATTGTTATTTAGGACTGTAATTAATCAATCTCATGTTGACATATGTGCATCCTGTGCGGATTGCCTCGATATAACCTTAAGTTACAAGCTTTTTAAGCAAAGATAAGACAAAACGCGCGTCCTGGATTCCATTGCTAACCAGTATCCATCTTTTCACAAGTGAATAGTTTATATTTCTTACTTCGATCAAGTAAGGAAAATTGCTCAAAACAGTCTGTATATTGATTATTAATAAATTATTTGTAAAAATGTGAAATACACAATAGGTAACCAAATGAACTATGCAAAAAATGATATACACATAATAAATTATACTAAAAGACTAAAAGTGACAGAATAATGCCCAATAAAAACTAATATTGATTGGAACAGTTAATAATACAAATGAATGTACATGCAAATACACACACACACACACACCCCAACGACAAACTGCTCAATCTCCATCTTCTTTACAACAGATTACAACATGTACGTTCGTATGTACGAACGTACATAAACTACCAGGTCATAGTATCATTGAGATTTTGATTTTACTATTCGATTAAATTTGAAAAGATTTTGCACCATATGAAAATGCTGTAGGGAAAGAAAATGATAGAAAAACAACATATAAATAGACAGTAAGTTGTTGTAAGAACTCCGCCTATAGCTTTTCTAGAGTTACTGCCGGTCTTAAGTCCGGATAAAGGAGAAGAGTTAGGCATAGGGGTTAGTGACTCCATCCCACAGAAAACTAACTCGCTAAAAAAAAACGCTAAACAGGAAAAATAATTCAAACCATTAAAACTCTGCCTTGGGAGTTAGAAGGTCTTCATTTAGAAGAGTTCCGATGGTGAAAGTTGAGTTCCTTCGGAAGTCACGGGGCTGATGTCTCTTTTGACAGCCAGAGTAACAATTCTTATAGGTGCATGGGACGTACGGACAATGTAGGAGACCAGTCAAATAGCAACGGAAATGGGAGGCCTATGTTCATTTATGAGGAGTAATAGGCATAAGTAAGTACGTTGTTATAAGAGAGAGTTCGAACAAACTCTGTCATTTCATTTCACTTTTAAGTTACAAGAGATATTCTTCGTTTTTGCGACAAATAAACGTATACCCCTCCCCTTTGTGGTCTTACCCTATTTTTCCTCTTTTTTAGGAGTATTGTGACATGTATATTTCGTGATTTTTGTAACGACAAAATAAAGGCCATTTTTTCTCTGTATCAATGGTAAAGAAACGGATATAATTGTTTGGCTATATACATACACCCAGTCAGTCAGCTACAACGTAGGACCAGGCACATATATGCATCGGTCTAACTTGCCACAACTCACTAGCACAATAAGATGAACACCGAATTCATAGAAGTAGTTAAATTCAGTGGTGGTAATATATAAAAGAAAGATTGCATATAAGGATATAATAAAGGAAGAAAGCATTAGTCTGTAGAAAGAAAGATATGAAGCGATTTTAATTCATGAAGCCACTGACAAGTGGACTGAGCCATGTTTGTAAGTGTAGACTACCTGGTTGAGATCCGCGAGACGATAGCAACCAATGGTTAGAGACCTTGAATGACATGGCTCAAAATCGTTTGCAATGGAGCAGGTACATCTATTCTTTGTGTTCTCCCAAATTCTAGTCTTCTGAATTCTTCATATCCCTTTCTTTTTTCCCTTTCCAAATTTATTTCACTGGACTATACTCTTTGAATAACATCTTCAAACCCTAGTGTTTTCGATTGCTGCTTACACTCTTACTACCTCTACCACTATGAGATTTGAGTCGACAACTACATCTCTGTTCTAATGTGGTATGGCAACTCGAACTGATGTACGTACGTACGAAGTTCTACGTTGTTACTGACTGACTGACATAGTTTAAGGGAAGACAGAGAGTGAATGCACCTACGCCATACATACACTACTGCGATTGTTAAAATATTAAACACTATCTCCACTGTCTGTTTTTCTGCTTCATTGGCTACGGCATTTGATTGAAAATTATAATAGTGTTATAATATGCTTTTAGGCCTTTCCATAGTACGTTGAATTTTTGGCCCGAATCATTATTAAACAATACTATTGGATTTAATATTTCTCATTACGCAGTTGATGTTACCATGTGTAGAGGAATATTTGTTAATCAAGTGAACTCATTTGTGATTGTTATTTTAGAGAGCAGGTTACAAGTAACATTCATTTCATAATAACTGTAATTTATTACTTTTCGCTTTACTCATACACAGACACTTAGGGTTGAAGTATTAATTCTTTTGCTAGGATTCACTACCACAAGAACATTGGAAAATATGACTGTATACA